AGCAGGAACAGTGTGCTGAGAAATTCAAACACAAACCTTCCAGTGCAGTGCGGGCAGGGCACTGCGCCCGCTGGTTGTGAAGCCGGTAAGGTGTCTCTCGCTGGGTGCAGACTACCTGCGTGCGGAGCTGCCGTCTGTGCCACTGTGTGTGAAGTGCAGGTTGCTGGCTGCCGGGGTGCTGGTCGTGCTGGCGCAGCCCTGTGCACCAGCCTTCGGCTTGGTCGGGCTCCTGCAGTGAGCTTGCTGGTCCCATCTCTTGATCTTCTGCAGTGGGGAGGTGGGGATCAGCTAACTGCAGACAAATGGCATTTTGACAACGCGAACAGGGTAAAAATGTGTGCTCTGTAGGGTCCCTGCTGCATTTTTGGAAGGAAATGTTTTGCAAGGAAATGTTCTTCAGGTGTTTGCTGTCTTGAATGGTACTGAGAGGTGGGGTGGGACTCGCCATGCTGTGAGAAGTCTGTGTGGGTTTAGTAACAGCTAAGTGGAGGCACAACCAGACGGCACCCTGCGGGGGGGGGGGGGCGTCTCCGGGAGCTGTCCTGGGGCGGCCCCCGGGGGGGGGGGGGGTCAGCGTCTCCGGGAGCTGTCCTGGGGCTGTTCTGGGGGCAGGCGCAGCGATGGTCTGTACGGCACCACGCGCCGCCTGACGTCTCCACCGGTGTTCCCTTGAGGAACCGCTGGTGGGGCGAGCTGGCTGAGATGGTGATGTTCAGTGGTGATCACAGCGCTAACCTGAGCCCAAGCTACCTGCACGAAAGGTGTGGGGGGAAAACGCTCCGTAACTTACAGAAACGTGGTCTGTCTCGCTGCTGCCAGTCGCGGTCAGGAGGACTGTGGGAAATCATTACAGCTTAATATGTCGTCGTTCCGCAGCCCTTCACTTACCATCCTTTTCCCTCTACCCTGCTCTCCCTTGTGTCTTCCAACAGCATCAGAGTCTCCCAGCAGAGCCAGCACGGGACCCGTGGTGCTGGCGGTGACGGTGGCGGTGCCGGTCTGCGTCCTCTCCCTTGCGGCGGTGCTGGTGGCATGCACCTGCCAGGGCCGGCGCTGCGCCCGTGGCAGGGCGAAGCAGCCCAACGTGGAGGAGCCCCTCTCCGAGTGCAACCTGGTGAACTCTGGGAAGACGCTGAAGGATCTCATCTACGACATGACGACCTCCGGCTCCGGCTCTGGTACGTGGGGGCCACCCAGCTGCCCTGCGTGCCGCCCTCGCCGCGGCTGCTGTTGCTTTGCTGCCAGTTTTTGGAGTGAATTTTCTTGATGCCTAAACTGAAGGGAAACGCGCCACCTTGCTTGTAGGGCGACGAAGGACGTTGCCTGCCGGGCAGAGGGTGCAGGTGGGGGTCATCTCAGAGGCTCTTACGCCGGTGCCGAGTTTCATGTCAAGGGCGGTTTTGTGCCGATACGCTTGGCCACGCCTTCCAGCAGCAAGAGGGCTTTGTTTGCTCTTCTTCTGTCAAATTACAAAAGTTTGATTCTTTGTTTGAATGGAAGAGTTAAAGAAGTTAGTTCAGGAGTAGGTTTCACGTGTGAAACAAAACGTTGCTGGCTGATGTGGCATGGCTGGTAACAAAAGGTACTAAGTTTAACTGAGTGAGTCAGGATGCCACTCCTGAGATTTTTATAGGGGTGCCAAAATAACGTTACTCCAAAGTCTTGTTTTGACAGAACGCCAGCTGTTTTAATATTTTTCCCATTTCTGATATGCTATCTGCTATGATGCCTCCATTGCTATTGAGACCTTGTTAAATCAAAGAAATGCAAAAATGAGGTGGGAATTAAAAAATTCCAGCTCATCAGGCTGGTGGCACGTCTGGTGTGTACAGCCCAGCTTTCTGAAACTAGAAATTTATTTACTTGAAAAATATGTAACTCATGCTTACTTTTATTTATAAGTGAAAAATTTATAAATGGTGCTTAATTTAATTTACTTCATTCTCCATCAACTACATACCTTTCAGGATTAATTTATTGTACTTCCCTAACGTTTTTTCACAGATATAATGGGTAGACTCTGGCTTTATTTACCCTGAAGTTTTACCTGTTTGTAGACCTCCCTAAGCTAATAACAGGGCTTTCTTTGTGCTGGCCCACAGTGGAGGCAGGCGGAGCCTCGTGTGCACCGGTGCGGTGTGTTCGGATTTTGGCCAAATAGCAAGTTTGCAAGTTTGTGACTCGGGGGTTGGCCACAGGCAGCCAGGACGAGCCCGCGAAAGGCTGCGGCTGCGGGGAGCGAGGGCTCTGTTCAGGACACCGGAGGGAAAATTTGAATAAATTTGAATAAGCTGACCTTCAAACTATAATTTTTCCTGGCGATTATTTTGCTCTGTTAAAAGCAAGGTTGTCATGATTTAAAAAAAAAAAAAAAATCTGTGTTTTAAGTCCCAAACAAATACAGCATCAAATCAAACGAGGCAGGGGTTTTTGGCTAGCAAAACAAAATGAAACTGCTATGATAATTTATTTTTCTCTTTGAAAATTTCAGCCAGAACAGATCAACTAATTGACTGCAAAAAAAACTGTAGTCCATATCAAACCAAATGAAGTAGTTCAGGCCTGCTTTTTTATTTTCATTGGGGTTTTTTGTGGTTTTTAAATTTATTTGCGATTAGGGAGGTAGAATTTGGGGAAAGAAAGGCACCTGCGTCATAGGGGTCTCCTGGCTTTGCTGGAAAATACACCCGTGCGGTGGTTTACTGAGAGCAGAGGGAGGGGAAGGGAGAGCTGGCTTCGGGCCGGGCGGGTGGACACGGCGCGGCACAGCTGGGACCGAAGCCCCTGAAGGCTGCCCAGGACGCGGCAGGCGATGCCCGGCGTGGGGGCCGGCAGGGCTGGGGTCCGGCCCCGGCATTTGCCAGTGCACGGTTATTGCAGTCTGTCGTGCCTTTTTACACATCGGCCACAGCCAGCCTTTTTTCCTTTGTCAACAGAATAGCAAAGCTGGGCTTATTTTCCAGGCAGGCCGTGGCGTACATGCCAGCTTTTCAGCCCTGTTCTGTTTCTTTCGCCCGCCCCCTTGTCTGAAGGGTGCGTAATTCCTGTGGTGACCCCGACTGGCTCATGGCTCTTGAAGGAACCGGTGGAGCGCGCCCCGGTGCACGGGGGGTCCCTGGCGTCCCTCGGCAGACCGGCGGCCGCTCGGCCGTGCTGGCACGCGCCAAGGCCTGACGCTCTGGTTTTCAGACTGTGCCGAGCTGGCGGGAGGGAAAGCTCGTGCCTGACTCGCTCCAGGACCGAGATTGTCCGTTGTGCCTAGGACAGGCGCGACGTACGCTCATCTGGCAAGTGGCATTAAAAAGTGTCATTGTGGGAGATTCCGGTTGGGAGAGGATTTTCCCTTGGCGCTCGTTGAGAGCGAAGTCACAAGTACAACTCACTGGAAAATCTCTCACTGGTGAACTATTTCACAAATATCTGTCTCTTTTTAAACTAGGTTTACCGCTGCTCGTACAAAGAACAATCGCAAGGACTATTGTCCTGCAGGAAATTGTAGGAAAAGGCCGATTTGGCGAAGTCTGGCGTGGCAAATGGTGCGGGGAGGATGTAGCTGTGAAAATCTTCTCCTCCAGAGATGAACGGTCCTGGTTTCGGGAGGCAGAAATTTATCAGACGGTTATGCTGAGGCACGAGAACATCCTGGGCTTTATTGCTGCCGATAACAAGGGTACGCTGCGAGTCGCGTGTGAAATCCCGCGTGTCTGTCTCCGAGTTGCTTTCGCTGCCCCCGCTCCCACCCAAAATACCACTCTGAACCTCGCAGCTGCCCTGGGCTCCTTCCCGGTGGGGCGGCTGGCAAACTTGTTCGTTTGCACGCCTGAGCCGGCCACAAAACGGGGAAGGCTTTTCCTGGCTAAATTCTTTCATAACTCTGAATAATCTTGCTTCCTCCGCGTAGATAACGGGACGTGGACTCAGCTCTGGCTTGTCTCAGAGTACCACGAGCAAGGGTCGCTGTTTGACTACCTGAACAGAGGGACGGTGACGGTGGAGGGCATGGTCAAGCTGGCGCTGTCAGTGGCCAGCGGCCTGGCACACCTCCACATGGAGATCGTTGGCACGCAAGGCAAGTGCTTCCCTTCCACTTTTCCCTCCAGTATTTTAAGGAACTTCAGTGCTTCCAAAAATGTTTATGGGTGAGGTGGTATAGTAAAGCATTTTACAAACTGTTACACCACAAGAAACGGTATTGGTATAACGCTATGTGACACGGTATAAAGAGAGAAATGGAATATCATCTTCCCGCTTCCACGTCTTCGTTCCGCATCTTTGAGTGGGTGTCTGTAGGAACAGCTGTGCTAGAGGGGAGCGCTAGCGAAGGGTTTTCCAAATGAATTCGGAGGGTGAACTTACGGTTTCTTGTTTTGTGTTTTATTCCTGAAATACAGATATTGGAACAAAAATGCCCTCAAGGTTTTTTTTTTAATTTGATGGCATTTAGAAGAGATTTACTTGGTACAAAATAGGCTTCAATGTTTTTATACAGCGTATAGTAACAAAGTTGAATAAAACTGGTTTTGCTTCCTTGCTCATTTATGTTGAAGTTCATACTGTCATTCTCAAAATTGACGGTGCTTTCTCTTTCTGCGAACAGGCAAGCCAGCGATTGCGCACCGAGATCTGAAATCTAAAAACATCCTAGTGAAGAGGAATGAAAGCTGTGCCATCGCGGACCTGGGCCTGGCGGTGAAGCACAACTCGGTGCTGAACACCATCGACATTCCCCAGAACCCCAGGGTGGGGACCAGGAGGTGGGTGAGGGCGGGCTGCCAACCGCCGGCCCGGCGCGCCCCGCGGGGATGGCTTCTCTCGGCCCTTTCCTCCTTCGGCGACTTCCCCCTCTGCTTTTGGCGTCTGTCAAGTTTTGGCAACAGACCCAAGCCCTCCGTCCCTGTGGGGCCGGTGCGGAAGGCAGTTGCCAGCCCCGGCTTGGGATGGAGCTCGCCACCCCACGCCGAGAGCAGCTCTGCGGCGTGGACGTCACGTGTCAGTCGCCCTGCGGGCTTCTGGGCGTAGTCAGGGCATCGCTCCCAGCGCCATGAGGAGTCGCAGCGATGCGTGTGGATGTAGGCAGCCGCAGCATTACGTTCATCGCCCAGGCCAACTCTTGCTTTCACTCGGAATTGCTGTCAAAAGGAGTTTCCCTTTTCCTTTTTTCCCAGTAGGACCAGGCCTGCAGCCACGCAGCTGCAGTCTTTTGTGCGAACTCCCTCTAGCAAACTGACCTTTGTGTGCTTTAAAGGTATATGGCTCCTGAGATACTTGATGATGTGATGAACATGAACATCTTCGAGTCCTTCAAGCGTGCAGACATATACTCTCTTGGGCTGGTATACTGGGAGATAGCCCGAAGGTGCTCCGTTGGAGGTGAGGTTTCTGGCCTTTTCATTCTGCAATCCAGACCGCTTTTATCTTAAATAAAACAAAAGCAACTACCTATGTCCATGCCCCTGCACTCTCGGTTATCTTGGCAGCGTGTGGTGGTGGAAGTCTGTTGTGGAGCAGTTGTTCAAGGTGGCCCCAAATGTTCCTCTGTTCTCTCTCATTGCCTGTAAAAACAAAATTGGAGTTTATTCTGGAGCAGCTACTTTGGATTTTGTGTTACCTACACAATAAATCTTTCCTAGGAATCACCGAGGAGTACCAGTTGCCTTACTATGACGTTGTGCCTTCTGATCCTTCGATAGAAGATATGAGAAGGGTAGTTTGTGAGCAGAAGCTCAGACCAAATATTCCAAACCAGTGGCAAAGCTGTGAGGTAAAAGCAGTTTTCCAGTTTACTACAAAGCATATTTAAATTAAGACAGCATTTTTCAGTGGGACAAAGGGAACTCGATGTCCAGCGTCTCCTGGATTTAAATGTGTTTCAGATGTCTGGCTGTTTTTCAGCTCCCAGATCAACACAGAGAAAAATGTCTTTGCACCAAATGCTGAACTCTCTGGAATATGGGTCTTAATTGATGATATTGCTGTTGTACTACCGTTTGAGAGAGCTATATTTTGTCTTCCAGTATTGCACTTAAAAAAATTAAAAGCGGGAGGTGATGGTTTCATTCTTGACCTCTTCTTTTAATTTCTAATTCGCAGGCGCTGCGAGTAATGGGCAGGATAATGCGCGAATGCTGGTACGCCAACGGCGCCGCGCGGCTGACCGCGCTGCGTATTAAGAAGACGATTTCTCAGCTCTGTGTGCAGGAGGACTCCAAAGCCTGACGGAGCTCCCTGGGGGAAGAGAGGGGAATGAATTCTTCTGTTCATCTTTCAACATGTGATATTATTTTTATTTTTGGTCTACCTCACATAACGTGGTTCAGTATTTAAGTGCCCAAACCAGAGCACTGACATCTAGCTTCGTATTTGGCCACTGGAAGGGGCAGCTTTGACTCATAGCTCATGTTTTCTACAGCAAGTCAAGGACGTGCTTTGGTTTTCTGAAGCAAGTTAGACACTAGGCTAATTGCAGAAAGGAGCTCAAAACAGCACGGCAGTGTAACAATACCTTTTGCTATTGCGCTTTTTATCCTAGTCAAACCCCAAACGTATTGGAAGCAGCTGGTATTGGTTAAAGCCTGTCTGCAAGAGAAACCACATGTTTTATCCTCAAACCAAGTGAAAGGCCAAATTTAATCCAGCTTTTTACATATTTTTACACAGGAATCTGAAAAGGGTCTGTCAGTAAAATGCATTTTTAAATACTATATTTATCATTACCTAAGCAAATAGAAAAAGATGAAAATTCCACTAAGCATGTATATTGTGAACAAAAGCATCTAGTCAGTTTTTTATGACTTTTATTTTTATTGTCTTGATTTCATATACAATATTATAGTTAGGATTTGGAGTTATTTTACTCTGTTCATTTGTTCATTGAACATAGTGATCAGGGGACAATTTTTCTTTTTATCAGTTAGTAGGAAAAATAATAGAGGCAATTTTCTTCCGATAGATACGTAGGGTTGGAATGGGAGAAATTCTACCTAAACTGAGAAAGTACATCTAAATATATATACATATATGTTTTTTAAACAACATCTTGCCAATCTGTCACTGGTAACGTTTTTTTAGTGCCTTTAGGCACCTTAGTTTTTAGGGGAAGCTTTAACAAAACGAATTCTCGGAGAGCAGTTGAAACCGGGCAGAAAGGTTCGTTTCTCGTCGCAGTGACGTACCGCGCAGCCACCTCGCTGTGGCAGAGGGCTTGGGGCTGCCCACGCGACCGGGAGCCGCCGCGGCGGCGGCGCTCTGGAATGGCAGAGCTCCTGCTCGAGGCTGTATGCCGGAGCAGTGCCTCTGACCTTGGGAGACTGATGTGCTTTCTGCCCCCCTAGCTTTTGGCACTTAAAATTAATGTTTCAAATGTACCTGCACTCTGGACGGGATCACTGTTTGCTGTTGTCTGTCATGGCCTAGGGACCTGTTGAAATGTAAATTTAAAGCACTGATGTCCTTGCACGAAGCCAATGCAGCCTATCCGGAGGTTTCGCACGGATTTCTGTAATAGCACCAGGTTGGTGTAAAGCATTAACATCGCTAATCGTATTTCCATAATACTGCAAGCTATAAAAAGCAGGGTGTTTTTTCAAAATTCACTGATGTTCTGGCATTTTGTGAATTCTGCCCCCCTCTGTGGTCCACACATTTGAATTAGTATTCTAATATTTTTAATAGCCAAAATTATACATTTAATAATAATATGGTTCTTTAAATGTTTCTAAATCCAGGTGGTCCATGGAAATTAAGCCCGTAGATGTTTCCAGAATAGCAAAGCTTTGCAAAAATTTGCTGTAGCACACATAGCTCTGTACACGTAAGCTGTTAGCTGATTACGGTATTTAAGATCAATCTTTCAGATCAAACCTCTTGAATTGGGGCTCTTACGTGGAAGAATGGGTTAAACTTTTACAGAGCGGGCCGGTCAGTAGTATCAGTGCTCCATGTTTCATCCTGACACAGCACTCTAGGACATTATGGACTCTTTATGGACGGTAATTGCCCCGTAAATAGCCTCTAATGCCATTCACCTGTTTGCATAACTTTTAGTCATTCCT